CCCCAACCTGACTAAAGAACACCCTGATTAAAAGAAAAGCACCTTGTCTGGGTAAAAAGGTGAGAAGCCCCCATTTCCAGTCAAAATTTGCAGTGGCCACGCTTAAACGCGATGAAATGTTGATCAAATTTAACATAAAGTTGCACAGTAAATATTAGCTTATTGGAAAGCTCAGAAGAAAAAAATACAAACATTTGAAGGAAAATGGCTCGCACGACTCAATCCATCTAATGAAAAGGTCCCAGAGGATAACGAACAATAGAACCGTTGTCTTCAAAACAGAATGAAAATATAACAATAGGCGAAGTTTGATATGCGCGCAGAGAATATTCAATCGATATCCTTGCTCTAACTTTCTTTCCCTGGAGTTGCAAACCAAACTAAATGCACCAAATTTGTAAACAGACATCAAGAGTATTTCAAATTTGTAGCAGGCCTATTTTCTGCGCACTGTTGAGGAAAGTTTGCATTCTTATTGTAAAGCATCACCCCCTGCAGTATTGTATTATATTAAAACCTGTGCAAGAAATTATATATTCTAAAAGTGTTCTCTTCATATCGACAAACGAAATCTTTATATCATATGATAAGGAGTTTTCTTTCGTACAAATTGAGTTAAACCTTTGAGTCTTAGCCCAGTATAATCCTGTTCTCTTTCCTGTATTTTTTTCCCTTGTTAGTTTTGTCATCCCTCTTCTACTTTGCAACAATTTATTTTATGAGCTTCATCCGGCTCTACAGTAAAAAAAGTACTGTGGCAAACAAAAATGAATCAAAAATAAAAAGTTCACATATGCGTCAAGGTATCTCGATGTCAGATGCGCAGACTTTAACTAGCGCTTGAACATTTGTTCCTAATTTAGCACACATCTTTCCAACAGGTGTTTCCGCCAATCGCTCAGCACAGGATCGAGTTGCATTCTCCTTTGAAATGAATTAGCGGATCGCCTTTGCCTCTTATGAGCTTCGGAGTTTAAAGGCTCCAAGAACAACTCGTAATCCTCTTCTTTCATGTCGTCCGACCACTGTAAATATCTTTTGTGAGGACTATCATGATTGTCGCACCTTTTTATTCGGTTAACTTTATTTGTACCTCCAGTTGGCCAGAAAACTGGGACACCATCATCCACGCATTCCTTTGTTTTCCCTTTATCTGTGGTCTCATCACAAGCACAGGCACGTTCAAGTGTGGAACCTTGTTTGTTATTCACGGGTGGAAGTTTGTCGAAGTAACTTGGCTGTCTCCTACGACAATTGAAAATTTAAAACATTAAACGTTTGCAAACATCTCAAAAGCATTCGGTGCCCCAACTTGATAAATATTTCTTTAAATATTTTTCACATCATTAGCGATTAGGCAAAAACGTACCCTGATACACTTCTTGTTTCAAAAGAAGTACATTAAAATTTTTTTGAAGTAGATCGTGTTTAACATTCAAGTAGCGAAAATATCCATTTCAAATCTTTGTCCCTGAAAATACAAAAATTATAGTGTAGCGGCAAGGTAAATCAAACCTAAGTAAGGATTTCAAAAAATGGAGGGAAATTTTGATGATTCCGAAACTTTTGACTTAAAGAAAATTTTTTGACGGCTTTATCCCACATGGGCCATAACTTCCAGTTATCTCAATTGAAAACGAACAAAATAAGGAGGCCAATCTAGCCCACAGACATCTCCAGGATTTCCGTTTAATAGAAAAAAAAATATATCCCTCCTGAGATTGTTTCCAAACGTGGTAAAATCCCCATGGCGACTCTCATATGTACACAGTCCGTCTTCATTTTGACAC